CACCACCATCATCTCCTCCATCACCACCAACAACTCCTCCATCACCATCACCACCAGCATCTGCTCCTCATCACCACCTCCACCACCATCTCCTCCATTACCACCACCACTACCATCTCCTCTATCACCATCACCACCACCGTCTCCTCCTGTATCACCTCCACTACCATCTCCTCCATCACCACCACCACTACCATCTCCTCTATCACCATCACCACCATCATCTCTTCCTCCATCACCAGCACCACCAGCACGGCTATGCAGTTTGTTAAAAATAAAACATCTTGAGGCAACTGCAGACTTCCTGAGCCAGAACGATGGAAGTGGGCTCAGTACTTGGTTTGAACAAGTGCTCTCGGGGATTTGGATGTGTGCTCATTTGAAGAGCCACCAGGTGATACAGCTACAGGGATACATGGCTTTCTGGTCCTCATTTTCAAAGATCTTGGCAAAGGATGACAGGCACAGAGCCAAGCATGTTCAGGACAGAGAGGGGGAAGAAAAGATGAGTGCTGGCCCCACCCCCATCACACATTATTGGCTTCAGCCCAAGTTTAGCCTTCAGGAGCAAAGGGGATTCACGTGGAGATGACCTGAGACTCTGAGCTTATTTTTGCCCAAACACTGGCTTTTGTAGAGCAGCAGGAAGCCAATCTCCCTAGTTCCTTGGTTGCTCTTGCCCCCTGCCATGAACTTACTTGGCCCTGCCTTGCTTCCCACCTAAAGACTCAAAATTAAGGGGCTGGGGATTTAGCTCAGCGGCAAAAGTGCCTGCCTGGCAAGCGCAAGGTCGTGAGTTTGGTTCCCGGTACTGGAGAAAAACCAAAACCAAAAAAAAAAAAACAAAATTAATGGAAATGTTGGTCCAGTAGAAGCTCAGCATAGTTGTGATCACACCTTGGTGATACCAGTCTTCTATGGGCCCAACACCTGATGTAGGTTTTGATATTTATAAATGGCAGGAGGACCCAGGATCGGGGAGGAATCCCTAGGCCTGGCTGAGTCTTCACTCTGCTGACTTCCGGCCTGTAGAATTTGACCTTCTGCTTCAAGGGGTGAGATTCCTGCTTTGGGGAGTTTCTGGGTGCTTGTCTTCCTGGCCAGGTGAGCCCCAGCATTTTGGGTTGATTCTTAAGATAGAGAGATAGTCTGGTAAGGGGAGGAGTCTCTGAATTCTCAACTGCAGAAGAGAGAAGGGAATTGGTGATACTGATTTTTCTATCTTTCTAGAAAACCTTGTCTTATTAGAGTGAAATTCTGAAGTTGGAGCTAGATAGCTCTTCACTGCCTTTACGCTTTCTCCAGTTTCTCAAAGGGAGCCTGGGCAGTGGATCCATCGCTTGTCCGGGGTCCATCACCCTAAGCTGCAAGTGCCTGTGCTCCTGTGCCTCCACCCTTCCAGATAATGGAGGCCCGCTCGATTTCAGGAAGAGCCTGTTCAGTTCCTTAAACAACCGACATCATGAAGATTGTCATTTGGAGGAAACTGAAAGATCAGTTGACCAAGAAAGAGGTTTCAGGACCAACAATTTTTAACTTAGGTTGAAATACCCACGAATGCACAAACCCCGTACCAAGGTGTAGTGACCAGTCTCCCTCCCGTTACTCTTTCCTATTTGCCGGTTTCCATCGCCCCGAAATAACTGCTCTTCCTAATTCCTTTTGCATTTACAAACGTGAATGAAAATAAGTTCTAATTTCCATGTTTCTTTTACGCAAAAGTTGTATATTTTTGCATATTGTGATGAAATTTGCATTTCCCCCTACTTATTAATGTACCTTGTGATCTTGCATGTCAGTGCATGTCTTTGTTACTTTCAACAGCTATGTAGTATTCCCTCCATGGATGTGCTGTTGCTGATCCCTCCAATGGCTGTTAGGGTTCTTTCTGGTCATTTGCTGTCACAAACAATGCTATCACGCTGTAGTTTGTACATACGTTATTTTGCATTTGTCCAATTGCACCTATAGGGCAAATTCCTTGAAATGGAATTACAGATCAAAAGGTCACTGCATTGGTAACTGTGGCGGATAGTGATTTCCTTCTTCTAAGGAGGAGGAGCCAGGCAAGGCAGAGTGTGAGTGGCTTCTCCGTGATTTTTAGCTGTTTTATCCTAGACTTGATACTTACTGGCTCTGAGTTCCAGTTTGTTGTTATTGTTTGTTTGGTTTTTTTTTTTTTTTTACCTCTGGGGTTGAACCCAGGGCCTTCACATTGAGCTCCCCTCCCCGCCATGCCCTTTTATTTTAAGAGTGAGTCTTGCTGAGCCGCTCAGCAAGGGTAGACTTGAACTTATGATCCTCAGGCTGGACTTGAACTTGTGATCCTCCTGCCTCAGCCTCCTGGAATGGTGGTATTACAGATGTGCACCACCATGCCTAGCTATAGCTCCTTTTTTTTTTTTTTTCTGGTCTTTTTAAGACAGGGTTTTGCTATATAGCTCAGGCTGGCTTTGAGCTCACTTTGTAGCCCATGCTGGTCTCAAACTCACAACCATCCTCCTGCCTCAGCCTCCCAAGTGCTGGGATTATGGGCATGTGCCACCACACCCAGCCTTATAGATCCAGTTTTAAAAGTCTATAAAATGTGGCCCATATAGGTTTAGTGTATAGCTGCAGTGATAGATCACTTACCTGGCATGCCCAAGACCCTGGGTTTGATTCCCAGCACCACAAAACAAAAACAGCCAATAAAGTGTGTACCCACAGAGTTCTGAGGATAGAATGAGATCAGCTGTGTGAAACATCCAGTTCAAGGTCAAACACATAGGAGAGCAGTACACCCTCCCGAGGGCGAGCAGCCTAGGCTTTGCTTGGTGCCTGCTGGTCCTTTGGTGGGACTGAGCCTAACCATCAAGCTGGTGTTCCTAATGAGACTTCCCTCTGCATGCCCACCGTGCTTGGAAGTGCCTTACATACTCTGCTAATAGAACCCTGGGTGTCACCAGGGTTTTTCTGGACGACCTATTGGGCATGCCGTGATGGAATCTTCCTGAAGGAAGTCTGCCTTACATTCTCAGAGCGCTGGTCCCCAGCAGAGCCCACAAAGAAGCACACTGTTTGCCACTGGACTCATACAATACTGAATATTCTATGCCCATGATTCCGTTCAGTTCTCAGAATTATCCCAGAGGGTAGGAAATGTTAGTCACCCCAAGCCAACCTCCTCGTCCGTGTGTACACCTTTGTCCCACCAAGTAGAAAGTCTTATGTGTGCCCAACCCTGAGCTCTTCTACATTGTCCCCTCTAGGGGGTGAGACCCCAAGGCCAAGGCTGTGTCCCAGAGTTTCCTGTAGCTTCAGGTTTTAGTTACCTCTGGATGAGCTCTTGTTTCAAACATGTATGTCCAGATTAAGGGAAAGTTTGATTTTATGACCTGAAATGCCATCCACGTGTCTGAAAGGAAAACATACTTTATCCTCAGTCTCAAGATGCCTGCGCGAATCCTTTACTTTAACTCTGGCCCCACCGACGTTTTTCTTTTGTGATACTGGGGCTTGAACATATGGCCTTTTGCACTGAGATATATCCCCAGGCTTTGTTTGCTTGCTTGTTTGTTTCAGGCAGGGTCTTGCTATGTAGTCTAGGCTGGCCTTGAATTCACTATGTAGCTCAGGTTGCCATCGAACTTGCAGTGATCCTCCTGTCTCAGCCTCCCAAGTACTGGGATTGTGGGTCTGCACTGCCATGCCTAGCTGCTGCTAACATTTTAAAAGTCAGTTGTCAACTAGTCTTTTAAGGCCTCATACAAAAAGAGGCATTCTTAGAGCCTTCTAGACAGACACCATATAGCACATACGCATTTCTGCCTGTGCTCTCATTCATGCTACAGGGGATCGGGACAAACTGGGAACCCAGGGTCTGTTCGGCTGGTCTCTTTCTCAGGTCCTCAGAGCAGCTGGCTCAGCATTTCACTGACCAAGGATATGAGCAGAGAGAAGGAGGACCCTTTCAAGATACTCAGAATTTACGATGAACCAGAAGAGACAAGGGGTATGCCCGAAATCTCTGGAATTTGTTCTTTGCATGCGCAAGAAATACAGCACCACCTGGGCAGTCATCACGGACTGTGCCAGGTCTTCCCACATCCCGCAACATCTCAGCTGGGCCCTGTTTATCAAGAGTTGAGGACTATGACCCAGCAGCAGTGGGACTTCTGGGCCCTAGATACCTCTGAGCTCCAGGCCATGTGGTTTTCAGAGGGGGAGATAGGTAAAGCGGCCCCGGCTGGCGCAAGGTAGGTCTGACTTGAACATGGCTGGGTGGGGGAGCCCCTGGCCTGGGAGAGGGGCTCCTAGCACAGAGCTCTGGATTTCACACTCTTCTTCTCGCCCCCATCTGCCACAGCCCGCCCCCAGAACCCGCGCTTGGTAAGTACCGGCCGTGACAAAGTGGGCAGGGAGGGGTGATGGCCCCAGCTGGGGGGACGAAAAGTAGGACCTGGATTCAAGTCTCCCTGAAGACGCCTGCTGCCGACACCCTCGCTTTGAATGGGTGGGTACTACTGTTTCCCTGCAGGCCAGCCCTGTTCTTCGTCCTCTACCGACAGTGAAGCCTGCGCGCTCCTCAGAGCGATTGTAAGTATCTCGCTGTTTCGCTTCTGGGTTAACACTTGGGAGTCTTCCTTTCCCACCTGCCCTAATCCAGCAGCCAGGTCTGTATTCCTGTCCCTTCCCGCAGTGGTATTCTGAACAGGGTTGCTCTCCTTTCACTTCCTGATAAGTAGGGCCTGCAGCGCACAGTGTCACTTCCTGCTCTTGGATGGATGGATGGATGGATGAATAGGACGTGGTTGTGCCCATGCATGATGGTAGGTCAGGGCCATGCAGCCATGTTCATGCCACCTGACCTGCCGTCTCTGCAGCCTCCCATTCCAGATAAAGCAGTGGTCAAGCAGAGGACCCCACGGGGTGCCTGGAGGGTTGGCACACTCCGTCATGGAAAGAAAGTCTCTGCCATTGCCATCAGTGGTTCAAGCCACCATGTGTACACGTGTGGCCCTAGCTACATCAGGGTGTGGGATGAGAGTGCTCTGCACGCCTGGGACAGCGCCCCTCAGGCCCAGCTGGACTTGCAGGTGAGGGGTGTTCAAACATAGCTTGGGAGCCAACGTGGGGCCGCTGTTGCCGGTGCTGCCGGGTGACACAAGCGTGCGCCCTGTTCCTGCAGAACCCTCAAAACTTCGTCTTCACCTGCAAGCTGTTCCCCGATGAGCAGAGCCTGATCACCGCGGGCAGGGCCCAGAACCTGACTGTCTGGGACTTGGCGCCCACGCCCCGGGTGCGCACTCAGCTGGCTTCTACGGGCACCATGTGCTATTCCCTGGCCCTCTCCTCTGACGCCCAGATCTGTGTGGCTTGTTTCAGAGGATTTGTGGAGATCTGGGATTTGCAAAACCAAATCTTGATCAGGTGTGACCTCTCTCCAGAGCCCCTCAGGTGACCTGGGGAGGGCTTGACCCTGAGACCTCTGCTTTTCCTTTTTGCAGTTGGGCTTTCCGAGGCATTGTGGAGGATAGATCTGGGGCTTCCTAACCCTCTGTCTTCTAGGAGGCCCCCAAACCTGTCTATGAATCTCTGAGTTGTTTTCCCACCAGGAAACATAAAGTCCCTGTGTACGGGTGCCGCTGTGTTGACATCGCAGGCAATAAGTTCTGGATGGGAGGCGAAGACACCATCCTGTACTCCTGGGACCTGCGGAGCTACCGAAGGCTGCACCAGTACAGCTTGCAGAATGAGGTGCCCGGCTGGTGCCTGTCCAGGCCTAGTGTGCCCCCAGTGGGGTTCAGGTTCAGGTGGTGGCGGGTCTGAGTGGAGGACGCTGGCGTGAATAAAGGTATCGATGACTTCGAATGCTGACCCCCAGACCTCTTCTAAACAGATCCTTAGCATCACCCATGATCCCACTGAGGAATGGCTGTTAGTGGGCCTGAGGAACAGTGATATCATAACCCTGCACACTCATCGGATGGAGAAGTTCAAGGTCCCCATCCAAAGATATAGCGAATTCCACAACCTTAAGTTTGCTTCCTGTGGTGAGTGAGGAGCCAGATGGCTCTTGCAAGCGTCCTGCTTTGAACTCTCATTCCTACTTCTTTCTCTGCTTGCCTCCATTTCCTCTTCTGGCTCCCTTCGTAAGGCGGGCTTCCTGTACAGGGTGACAGAGGCAGCACGGAGCCCCGTCCTGTGGGCCTTTACTTCAGTGATACTCACCACGGTCCCCTGCATGGGAGGAGGGCGGGGGCAGCTCAGGGATGGCTGGGGTCATGTCTCTGATTTTCACAGGGGGGAAACTGAGGCAGGGAAAGAGTTGCCCTTTCCCTGATCTTGCTGAGGGTAGAGCTAGAGCTGGAAGGTGGGCTGGGTCCCTTGCCTTTTCACCTGTTCTTTCCTTTGCCAGGGAGCTACTTTGTGACCGCGCTGGATGCGTCGTTCCAATGCTTAGCAGCACCTTCTCTGCGAAGGTTATTCCAGGTATGGGAAGAAAGGGTGCACACACCAGGCACTCAGAGCTCGTGGCGCCAGATCCACTTGTTAGATCCCAGAAAGTGCTGGATAGTACCATTTTTTTTTCCAGTATTAGGGATTAAATCCAGGGTCTTCACACTGAACTGTATCCCCCTTTCAAAAAAATTTTTTTTGAGGGCTGGGTGAGGTGGCACGCACTTGTAATCCCAGCCTAATGAGAGGCTGAGGCTGAGGCAGGAGGATCACTGTGAGTTCGGGAATAGCCTGACCAGGGCATTTTGTAGAGTGTGGGCACTGAGGACATAAGATTCTGTGACTTGCGAGCTCCACCTTGGACTCTGGGACTTGGCCTGTTTTCATGCAAACCTTGAGAGAGTCCTAAATGAAGTGCCCACGGCTGGCTCAAGCCTCGACCCTGCACTCACTTCTCATTTGGTCCCTCTTTCCCTCTAGGTAGAGGAGTCTGCAGAGATCTTCTGTTGCGATGTTTCCGCGGATAACGAATATCTGGTCACAGGCTCCAAGAATAGTGCCGCAGTTTACCAGCTCTTATATTGAAGGGCACCTGGCATGGTCCTGCCAGTGAAGACCCAGAGAAGACCAGTGTGACCTTAACGTGCTGTACACCTTCAATACCTGCCACCTCTTGGGCCCCTGCCCCAGGAGTTGGTCACCCGTACCTGCCCTCTAGGTTTTTATTTTATGACTTAGGGCTTTTGTTATTTTTTTCTACCACTATTTCTGGGAAACTCTGAGATATGACCTTTGTAATTATTAAAATAGCAAAACAGAAATCAAAACAGCCGGATATATATCCATTTCTTTGAAGTAACAAAGCCACTGTGACAGAATACTTATGGTTCTATTTAGCGTACTCTGGTGGTCATGACTGGGCCATACTGAACATACTTAATGCCATTTAGAATGTTTAGATGCTAAATTTTTTTATCTGTTGTAAACAATTTTTAAAAAATCTCGGGGATTATAAAGATGTATACACAACGATGGCAATCTGTGAAGGAAGGGAGAAACATTGGATCGTAAAGGGATAGAAAGAGGGTTTCAACTCCATCTAAAATATTTATTTCTTCAAGAATAAATCAAGTTTCATGAAAATAAAAAAATATGCTTTCAAGACCACCACCAGAAAGTGAAAAGATAACCTGTAGAAACAAGAAAAAAAATATTTGCAGGTCATATTTCTGCTAAGAGACTAGTAGCTGCAATATATAAAGGACTCTTACAACTTGACAGTAAAAATACAACCCAATTTTTAAAAAGGAAAAGAATTTTAATGAACAGGCATTTGTCCAAAGATATACAAATGACCAATAAGCACATGAAAAGATAAGATGTTAAACACCCTTTGTTATTAGGGAAATGCAAATCAGCTCCACAGGGAAATACCACTTAGTATCTGCTAACATGGCTAGAATAAAAAGGACAGGAGCAGTGTGTTAGGATGTGGAGGAATTGGGATCCTCAAGCATTTCAAGTGGCATTCTAAAACGAGGTGGCCACTTTGAAAAACAGGTTGGCAGTCTTTAAAATGCTAAGCATAGTTTTACTACGTGAACCAGCACTTCCACTCCTAGGTATATGTCCAGGAGAAGTGAAATTGAAAATGAAGGCATATAAGTTGGAAGGATAATCATTTTCAAACTTTTTTGTTACTGTTGTTTTTGAGATAGGGTCTTGTTATGGTTTGTGTCTGGATGTCCCCCCAAAACATCATGCAATCATGGTGCGGGCTTCTAGAGTTTATGACTGATCCATGATCCAATGCTAGGATTATGGGTGTGAGAGCTACACCTGCCCTGGGGCGGGCAGCCTCTATACAATGTAAGGGAGGGAAAGAGGCTTGCTGCTCCTCCCTTTTGCTCTTGTTGCTTTGCTGTCTTCTGCTGCCATGAACTGTTGCCCTTGGCTATGTGCCACCCCGCCATGGAACCAGCTGAGTATGGACTGAAACTTCCACAACCTGTGAGCTAAATAAACCTGTCCTTCTTTAATTTGGGGCATTGGGTATTTTGTCTCAGCAATAAGAGAAAAGTAACCAAGACAGGTCTCTATGTAGTTCAGGCTGGTCTTCAGGCTGAAGGCCTGAAGTGATCTACTTCAGGCTTCTGAGCGCTGAGATTACAAATGTTGCCACCACACATGGCTGAAAGGATAATTTTCAGTGACAGAGTAAAGGAATTCTAAACTTTTTGTAGAGACAGCAAAAGTCCCAATTAATAGTAGCAGAAGTCTAGAAGCAGCACTGTAGTCTCTGGGTTAATTACTAAAACAATATTAAGCAAGTTTACAGCTTCTAAACCAACAGAGGGAAAGTATGCTATATAGTATTAATAAATCAATACAAAATAAGAGAAGAAAGAAAATCAAAGAACAGGCAGTACAAAAAAGCTTACTAAAAATGTTAGATATAAATTCATATGTCAGTAATTAAATGTAAAAGAATTAAATATTCCTATTAATTTCTACAGATTATATGACTAGATTAAAATCAGCTATATGTGTTTAAAAGAAACATTAAAACATACGGGTATAGAAAGGCTGACAATAAAGCACAGAAAAAGATACTTCATGTCTACAATAAAGCTGATGAAGTATGTATTATATTAGACAGTATATACTATAAAACAATATTTGAGATAAAGGTGAATACTTGATAAATTTAATTCATGCTCAGTTCACCTGGAAGATACAAGAATTCCGGGCTGGGGTGGACCACTCACCTAGCACATCTGAGGTGTGAGTTTGATCCTCAGCACTGAAAAAAAATTGTTTTTAATGCATTTACCAGCGTGGCCTCAAAATACATAAAGAAAAATTAATAAGATGGAAAAATTTACCTCTTACAGTAACCAGTAGATAAAAACATAAGGAATAGTGCTTCAAATAATGGGATTTGAAAACTTGAAACAATGCACGTACGGTAGTCTTTATACTGATGAAAAGAGCTGTTATGAATCCCAAACCTCAGATTGTGATCTGTGTATACCCTCCTGGGTGAATGAAAGTTCTTATTTAGGGAAGCACAGATGGCATTTTCTCAAGAAGGCTTAAGTGGAGTGGCAAGTGGGAGCAAGGGGGGAAAGCATAGGCCATCTTCCTAGTCAGAGTACTGTCTCCCTGATGGGTGTGGTCATCTTGGTCTTGGGGTGATCACAGAAATCAGGGAAATGACAGGTAGCCTATGGCATCCAGCTATTTAGAAGAGAAGGACTTCTTGCGCTGTTGGTGAGCCCATTGCTGTAACACATAGGAGGTGTTGGCTGCCCTGGAGGCCTCACGTGGTGTTGGGTCTGCCAGTCTTGAGGGGGAAGAGGGAGAGGTTGGGTGGTGGTCCTAGGGGAGACGCCCCTGCTCCAGGGCTTGGCTAGAACTCTTGTGGTGGTGGAGGGCATCTTCAAGAAGCCTCTGATGATTCCTGCTGCTCAGAGCTGCTTTGAGGGGCAGCAGTTGTTGAGTTTGTCTCTCTGTCTCTCTCTCTCTTGCTATGTTTGTCTTAAAATGTGCTCTGAGTTAGAAATTCCTGGCTTCTGTGTGGCAAGAACTCTTTTACCCTCCTGTGCCAGGAAGGACAGCTCCTGTGTATTGTTGAGAATGTGACTGTGAATTCTACAAGATCTTTCTTGTTTTTCTAAGTTTTTTGGTTTTTTTTTTTTCCAGGTCTTAGATTTTGATTATTTTCTTTGAGGAGAAGGATTTTGCTACTTTACTTTCTGTTAGTTGTCCTGCCAAATAAACCTGTTTGAGGACACCATGTTTGTTGAACACCCTCATTAAGGCTCTACACTTTTGACGTTGCTGTGGTTTAGATCTAGAATGGCCTCTAAAAGGCTCATGTGTTCAGGGATTGGGCCTTTGAAAGGCGGTTGGGTCAGTTAGGTGCTATAGCATCAGTGGATTAATCCATTGAAGAGTACATAGCTAACTAAATGTACTGTAGGAGGTGGGGTCTGGTGGGAAGAGAGAAGTCACAATGGGACACAGCCTGGAAGGGTGTATTTCCCCCCTTGATTCTCCCTTTTCTCTCTGCTTCCTGGTCACCATGACGTGAGCAGCTTTCCTCCGCCAGACCCTTCCCCTATGCCCTCTGGTCTTCGAGCCAGCCAACTCTGAACTGAATCCTCTAAGAACCAGGAGCCAAAATAAATCTCTCCTCATTTAGGTTGTGAATGTCCCATATTTTGTCTCACCAATGAGAAAGTGACTGAGACAATGGTGGCGAACCTATGGCATTCACGCTGTAGGTGGGCCACCTTTCTGCCTCAGTGTCTCTGCCTTGGAGCCAATCGACCACAGATTAAATGCTCCTAAAACATAAGCCAAAATCAATCTTTTCTCATTGAGTTATGTGCCAGGTATTTTGTCCCAGCAATGGGAATCTGACCAACAGAAGATGTAATTCATCCATTATCATGTACAATTCAGTAGTCTTAGTATATTCACAGTGTAACAAATGTCACTGAGATACAGTGGTGCCTGGCTGTCTCATATTTCCTTGCCAACTAGAGGGGGATGCAGCTTAGCCAGCTGCGTCTGCCCCGCCCCTTGCTCCCTTTCCTCTACCTTACACCCCCATGGACTGAGACAGTTTGCTTCCATGTCTTCCCTGGCTATCAAACCACCATTCTCCACTCCAAACTTAGTAAAGGCTGGCAGTGTGATGCTCCTCCCCCTACTCCCAGCACTTCAGACACTATGGTTGCATTTTTGAGAACAGAGTGGGCACTCTGGAATATTAGGAAGGAAGGAATCTTGGCCCCTTAGTTGCTTACCTAACATTCACAGCAAGCCTTCCAGGAGATTCCCTGTCTTCAGTCCAAACCCTCACTGAAACGGGCTGCAAGCTGCCCTCCTGGCATTGCTGGATGTAGTCTAGGAGGGCTCCTTCCTGTGTTCTGCAGCACAGGCCCTATGAAAACAAAAACATGCTTTGGCATTCTGTAAACTTGCTTTGGCGTTCCTTCAACTTCAACAGTGATGATTTATTTCTTGGGTAGTGTGGGCCCCAAAAGTCCTGTGAACCTACTTAGGATTTTTATCCTGAGCAGAATGGGCAGAATGAATAAGCACTCAGAACTGTTAACATCAAAGAGCTCCAGAGACCAGCAGCCAACGAAGACCAGCGGCAGAGACACAGCACCCAGTACAGCTGACTTATGGTGTCCACCACAAGCTGGTATCAGATGGTGGTGGTCGGCATTGGCAGTGACCAGTAGCTGGCTGTGTCAGCTGATGGCATCCGGGATTATCTGGTGTCATCTGGTGACATCAGGACTGTTAGCAGAGCCGCACTTTGCTGAGTCACCTTTTCTGTTTCCATCTGAATTGAGCAAAAGAACCCAATTGAGCAAAAGGCCAATTAGTAGCATTGCCACAATCAACTTTTAAATACTTTCATCATCCCCAGAAGAAACCCCTCTGCAATGAGCAGTCATTCCTCATTATACTCCCTCTACCCCTTGGCAACCACAAATCCACATCCTGTTGCCACAGGTTTCCCCATTCCAAACACTGGATATAAGTGAAATCATACACTATGCAGTCTTTGTAACTGGCTCCTTTCACTCAGCATGTTGCTTTCAAGATTTATTCCGATGGTGGTGTGTATCAGCACTTCATTATTTTCAGGGACAAATAATACTCTATTGCATTGTTATACTACTGTGAAGCCGTTTAAAAATAATCAGATACTAAGCCAAATTATTAAAACTAAAATAAATAAAACAACAACATAGCAACACACAAGGGATGAGAGAAACTATAAAAAGGTTTGGTAATAGATTGGTAATTGTTGAAGCTAAGTGATGAGTCATAGAGGGTCATTATACTGTTCTTTCTTTGGAATATGTACATTATACTGTTTTTCTTAGGCTTGAAATGTTTTATGATAAAAATTTTTAAACATTATTTAAAAATTAAAGCACCAAGCTTAGACATTTTCTTTTTTTTGTTGTTCTTTTTTTTTTTTTTTTTTTTTTTTTCCGGTACCAGGAATCAAACTCACGACCTTGCACTTGCCAGGCAGGCGCTTTTGCCCCTGAGCTAAATCCCCAGCCCCGACATTTTCTTTTTTATTCTTTGTTGGTTTATTATACTAGTGTGGTTATTACAGAGCATTTGTTGAGGTGAATATAAAAACAAGCCCAATCTATTTTCTTGTACCCTTGAGTCTGTAGATACATGCCATTAAAAGGATTGTCCTTTAATGTCTTGTGTAATTAAAGAAATTAATTTTTATTAGTACCTGTTTACAGTACATAGTGATTGCCTTGACGGTGGGGAATTGAATATGTACATATCACACCTTAGATTTTTTTACTTCCCTTTTTCCTCCTCCCCCTTCCTTCACTCCATTTCTAGATCTCTTTCCCATTTGTAAAAGATTTATTTCCCTGTTTCTTATTACCTATCTTATATTTTCCAACTTTAACCTTCTCATAGGGGATTTCTACCAAACCTTCACAGACCAGATTGCTCCAATGATTTAGATGATTGAAAACAATGAAATGGGGAAAAAAAAAAGAAAATAATAAAGGAAAATTTCCTAACTTTTATGAGTCAAAAATAACTTTGGTACCTAAGCCTGATGATAATAATACAATAGGAAAACTAAAAGTCAGTGTAAATTATGGGTAGCAATGCAAAGTACCAGTAAAATATCAGCAAACAGAATCCAACACCACATGAAGAAAATAATATACATGACTAAGTGGAATATTACAGAGATTTAATTTTGGATCAATATTAGGAAATATTTTAATAATTCCATATTGAAAGATCAAGTTTTTAATTTAATACCTATTCTTGATTTTTAAAAATTAAAGAAAATTAGAACTGAGCAATAATTTCTTTTTTTTGTACTGGGAATTGAACTCAGGACCTTGTGCTTGCCAGGCAGGCGCTTGTGCCACTGAGCTATATCCCCAGCCCTGAGCAATAATTTCTTAATTATTCTTAAATTAATATTCTTAAAATAATTTCAGACTATCTATCTATCTATCTGTCTATGCACCATCTATCTACCTACCTGTCACCTCTTAAAGATCTCTTCCCTTATTTAATAGGAAAACACTGCAGACATAAGACATTTCCAGTAAGATCAGGAATGAGGCAAGCAAGCCCATTAAATCCACTAATATTTTTATTGTACTAGACTTGTTTTTAGCCAGTGTGATTACACTAGAAAAATAAGGATGCTAAGAACTGGTAAACAAGAAGAAAAACTCTTTCCACTGTCAAGTAAATATGGTTGTATAACTAGAACTCTATTCAAATGTATCAGTACCCTGGCAGTGTATAAAATTCACATGCAGAAGCCAATAGCCTTTATATATATAATACTTAAATTAGAGGACATAAAGGGGAAAATCCTATGTACAAAAGCAAAAAAGAATAGATACTTAGGAAAAAACTTAATAAGAGATTATTAAGTGCTGAATGTGATGGTGCATACTTGTAATCCCAGCTGCTGGGGGAGGCTGGACCAGGAACATTGCAAGTTGATACTGCAATATAATGAATGACACCGACCCACCCGCAGTTGCTCCAGGTCTCAGCATGCAGGCCTACTCCGAGGTTGATCACTCACCACGCATAGTTGGAATTTAGTAGCCTTTTGTTGGCTTTAAAATAGATATTTTAGATTATTAATATTACATCAACTGAATCTGAGAATTGAAACTAATTCAAGTAAGTTTGAATATCACAATGTTAGCTTTCTAGTCCCATATAATTTTTACAGTTTGTAAGCTGACACTTCCCCTGGCACCGTGTATGAAGAATGGCTCTCCAGAAGTACATTTGGGGCATATTTTAACAGCATGAAAGTCTACAGATAACGCATATTTAAATGCTGATCATGTTAAGTTTTCTTGTAGTGTTTTGGAACTAGTTTTCGAATTTTAGATTACATGCCCACCTACCTTAAGTGCACAATTAGCAACTAGCTTATCAGTGATTGCATGATGCCTTACAGTTTTCAGTAACAATTTTTCTTATGCAAATATCACATAAAAGAAATTCTAGTATTTGGCCAAAAAAATAAAAAAAGTGCTGAGGATATAGTTCACATTGTTCCTCTGCTCTGCATAGCATTTGTGATTCCTTGGGTTCAATCCTCAGAACTGTTTAAAACAAACAAACAAAAAATCCCAAACAACAGCAAAAACCAAACACAATAGAAATGTGCAAAATTTATAAAAGGAGAGTTTATAATGCTTCTGGGAGACAGAAAATAAGCAAAGAGGGAAAATACTCCCTGTGTGGATATCACAATTTAATACAGAGGGCAATTCTCTCCAAGTTATTTTATAAATATAATACACTATAAAAATACCAACAGCTTTGTTTCATGGAGATGATGAATTGATATGGGTAATAAATATACTGGAATAGCCAAGGAAAAGCTAAAACAAAACGTGGGGGACCCTAACCCTGCCCAAGGTATAAATTTAAACAAGCTATAAATCCAAATGGGACCCTGGCGCGTGAGCAGACATTGATGAGCTACTGGAAAGATGAGAATAAAGTCTGTAAGTCACTGTAAAATTCTGCTTTTGGTCGCTGCAGTATTGATTTTGATCGTGGCGCTGGGGAAGTTGCATGAGGGTATATGGCAACTATTATTTTCACAACTGTTTCATAAATCTGAAAATTACTTTGAAAGGAAAAATAAATGTTAAATAGAAAGGAATAAAAATAGAAGCTTTCTGCCCTTATTCCGGAGATTCGTTTTCAGTAAATCCTGGAAATGGGCTGCAGGACAGTACTTTCCATGAACCTCCTAGATGTTTCTCATATTGGAGTATAAATTTCCCTGGATTAGATGACCTTTAACATTTCTGTCATTCATTCATTCATTCATTCATTCATTCATTCAAGTCAACACATGTCAGTGGACACAGAATTAATAAATAAAAACACGCCATGCGAGGCGGGATGCGAGCTAAGTTGTGGTGTGAACAATTTTATAGTTTCTGCGTCAGGCTGGCTGTGGCGGTGTGCGCCTGTAATTCCGGCACTCCGCAAGGTGGAGACAAGAAGATCACACAAGTTTGAGCCCTGCGTGGGCAACTTAGCAAGTTAATGAGACTTTGTCTCAAAAAAACAAAAAATGAAAAAGCTCAGTGAACAGGCCTTGGGTTCAATCCCTAGTACTGGAAAAAAGTGTTTTTATGTGAGGAAATACATCTATGTCATTAAAGTCTTTTTTAAAAGCAAATGCTCCCTATGAATCAAACAATATTTGACTTAGCTAAATCCTCACATTCATGAAATCAGATCTGGTTTTCTGTGTTAGTTACTGTGCTCAGGGTCGTAGGGATGAAAAATAAGGACACAGTTCCTGCCCCCAAGGGGTTTAGGGTTCACCGGGAAGTATGCACACTGGAAGCTAACCATAGGGAGGGCCTTAGCGCGATTAAAATTCAAAGGGGGGCTTGACCTGAGCTTACTGGTGGAGGGGGTGAGCTGTTGGTCTGTTGGAATGTGGGGGAGTGAACAGTCTAAGCGGCAGTTGGGAGGTGGTTGAGCAGAGGGGACCGTTGGAGGGATGAGGAGACAGTTGGAGAGGGATGGGTCAGGGATGAGGAGCTCGGAGGGGCACTGGCTTCAGAAGGATGTAAGTGCTGTATCTATAGATTTGGGGGCTGGGAGGGGTACTGCGGACGGATCCCTGTTCTCCAGGATCCCACTGCCCATGGTGGGCAAGCAGGAGCACCACTGTGAACTAGGTGTCTGGACATGGTGGACTTCGTCCCCTAATGGACGGAGAAGGGATGAGCTGCCTGATGGTCAGGCTGGACTTAGGGGCCAGAGGTTGGGGCTGGTTAGTTTCAGGGGAAGATAGATATCCATGGGGTGCAGCGCACTGGTGTTTGGAAACATAGGTTTGTTGGTCAAAGGAGAAGACTCAGAACAAAAAAATTGAGATTTGCCCCTAGAACTGTCTGAGGATGACTTCCGAGGTAGGAAGTGTAGCATGAGGGTCACGAAGTAGCCAAAGCAGAGTCCTGGGCAGTCTCACACTGGGGGTTTCAGAAGCAGAGGGGCGCTGGAGCCAGTCACCTGATTCAAATTCCTGGTGTGCTCAAGGGTGAGTTCTAACCTTGTGTTTTCTCCCCCTAAATTGGAGGAGAAATAAAACAAGTGTTGAAGCATTATTACAGGGCTAGGTGGGCTTGTGATATATAGAAAAGTACTCAACAACACTGTTATTAAATAGGATCAGTGTGAGATTAAGGAGCAACTCAAGGGCCTACAGAGAATACCACAGTGATGCAAAGTCACTGAAACCCTGCCAGGCTTTAAAGAGAAGTCGTGACGACCCTGAAGACCAGCTAGATGCCATGTAGGTATGTCACCCGTATCACTGCAGACAATTCTCATTGTAACCTTAGGAGGGAGTTTCTATTATCACCCCACTCTGTCATGTGACAAGATCAAGGTCAAAAAAATGTGACTTGTATTTCCTGTTCTGATCTGGGTGGGTGGGGGATCGTGGGTATAACTGGCCCTTGCTTTAAAAGCTTGTCTCCCTTAGAGATGGTCCTCTGCAGAATGCTTTGCAAGGGCTAAAGCTCTGCCAGTCTGCGCTAAGCTCTGGCGATTTTAGAGTGAACAAGCCTTGAGCCCTACCTTCGGTGAGCTCCCAGAGGGAGGGCTCTCACAGCCTCTTTCTCCATTCTGCCTTTGTAAATGCAGGAGAACCTCTGAACCAGTCTCCGAAGGTCTTTCCAAGGCCCAGGTTCCTCTCTGGTTCAAGCACCTTCTGTGCTTCCTTGGGGCCTCTAGCCCAGGTACAAATCAGCTCCACCTGGATCAAAGTTCTCTGCCTGATTCAGGGGCCTTGTATGTGCTCTGAGCCTCCGTCCATCCCAGCCGTATCTCCCACTGGCGCCCAAACCTTACAGGGTGACTTGGTCGGGCAGATCCCTTTCCAGCTCTACTAAGACGCATCCTGTTCTTTTGGTACAAAATGCGACCTCTAGCCCCACCAGCCAGTGAGCTCTAACCCAGCCTCCTCCTACACTAGCCCTGCCTGCTGGAAGCCTCCCTGGGCCACAAATCCACGCTGATCCTCTTCTTCCTCCTCTCTGCTTTTCAAGATTTAGAGGTGATCTGTAACATGATTCCAGGTGAGAAGCTGTGCTTGCTGGTGCCAGGTGGGCCTGTCCTGAGTTGTGCAGGAATGCAGAAGCTCCCCAAGCCAGCCACAATATCTTTGCCATCCCCGGGAAGTTCCACAACCCTGCTAAGCTCCTGCCACCATTTAACGCCATCCTGTGCCCGGGCCTAGCTCCTGAGTTGAAAGAGAAGTGTGCTAGAGGAAGGAGCACTGGACTGGGAGTCCGCGTCTTGAGGTGTATGCTGTTCTACCTAGTGTGATACATGGGCCAATGACCTCGTGCAGGTGGATTTTTCCCTCTGGGCTTCAATGTGAGTCTATAAACCATAGAAATGGCCTTGGGCCAGACTTCCCCAAGCGCCTTGTTGGTAACTAGGGCCGAAAGATTTTCAAATTTTAATGTGCCCATGAATTTCCTGAGGAATCTGGTAGAATGCGGATTCTGATTTAGGAGGTATGGGGGTTCTGCTCCTGAGAGCGCCCAACTGAGCTTCACACTGCTGCCCCTGGCATAGACTGGCATTGCAAAGGATTGAGCCTGATGTCCCCAGCCCCAGCTAATACTAGAATGGCCTGGGAAGTGCTTCCCCTCTTCCACTTTCTTGCCTATTTTAGATCTTTTTTTTTTTTTTTTTTTTTTGGTACCAGGAATTGGACTCTTGCTAGGAAGGCTACATCACCACTGAGCTACATCCCCAACCCTCTTCTCTATTTTTAAAAATCAGGGGGCTGGAGATGTAGCTCAGCAGCACAGTGCCTGCCTGGAAAGCGCAAGGTCGTGAGTTTGATTTCCGGTACCGGAAAAAAACCAAAAAAAAAAAAAAAAAAAAAATCAAACGTACTCTAGGGAAGGTTCTAAAAAGGCTGCTGTTAGCGATGCAGCTCGGGCCCATTAAATCAGATCCTGTGGGTTGATAATTTAAGACAAATTAGTAGTTTTTAGGTGAGGTGGTTGACTCTACTGCCCTCTTGTGGCCATCTTGTGCACTCCGTGTGGAATTTCAGACTCCCGTTTCCTGCTAGAGACCAAATGATCTAAAGGAAATACTGCTATTGGCCACGGTGCAGAGGGCTTCTCAGTGACCCCAGGACCCACCCTCCAATGAGTCAGCTCCCCTCTCCTGATGTTGGATACAATCCCTTAAACAAGGGTCACAGTTTTAGTGTCTTGAGGGTAGCCTGAATGAGTGGGAAAACTTCAGGTCTGCCAAGTACAGGGACAATCCAGGAAAAAGGACCCCGCAGGAGCGGCTGAGAGAGCCAAGCCTATCCATTGGCCAGAGCTGGACAGGTGCTCAGAGGGGCCATATACAAGGCTGGTCATACTTGTGTTTCAGTTCTGAATGACCCCTCATCAAAGCCACAGGAAAGTGGATGGGTTCATATTAACTGGCTGGGCTGGGGTAGCTATCAGAAGCCTTGTGCACTAGGGCTTTCTCAAAGGCCTCTCTGCAGGTGAGTGGCAGTTCAGGGCGACTCGGCCCCTGAGACCCACCTCATTCCCCTTCCCAGCCCTCTCCCTGAAGCTGAGAGTGAGTTCAGGCTCAGGACCCAGCCCCGGGAAGCTCCCCTGGGCCTGGTGTTAGCTGGGCGCTGCTTGTTCACCCATTCTGGGGAGGAGAACTCAGGAGAGGCAGAGGCCAGACCTGAGGGCTGAGGAGGCCGCACAGAGAAGGGGGGTCCTCAGCTCCCAGCAGCCATGGCGGCAGCGCTTCTCACCCCTGGACTTGGTTGACCGCAGACACTGCCGCAGGACAGAGACAGCTTCTGCCCTGCACGTCTCTACAGACACACTTTGAGCTGTGTCCCTGTCCTGCTCCCGACCTCAGCTTCACCATGGTCAGAACACCCAACCTTCTCGTCCTGATCGTCCCTGCCATGCACGGCTCCACCTACAGCCCTGAGATCTGGCTCCACGCTGTGCTTTCAGCGTTCTTTCCCAACCCACTCGGGCAAATCCACGCCGTTCTCCGCGGGGTTCATCTCCTCACCTCCTCTCACCATAACGGACCAAGGGGACTGGACTTGCTGCTTCCCCTGAACCCCCTGAGAATCTTTGCCAGGCTCGATCCTGTTACCCCTATTCTTTTCCCCTGGGACAATTGCTCTGTCTTAGGGGAAAGGGGTAGTTTAGACTTTGCTGAACCTCCCACAACTCGTTCCTCAGAGGTACTCTTTCATGTGCGGAATCCTCCAGTGTCCCATTGTGGGAAGGTTTGAAGCGAGAAACCAAATGCCCACAGACAGGGTCAAGGTGTGCGTGCTGGGGGCAACGCAGGAATCTCACCCTGGCCAGCAATGGTGGGGGGGGATGGGCAAATCCTTGAGGCGGAGAGGCCCTGGGACTCACGGGGAGTTAGGAGGAAGGAAGAGGAAACAGCTGGGGCGAGGAGAAAAATAAGGCGGCACATGGCTGCCTTCCTTCCTCCCAGAAATGCCTCTCCCCTCTTTTCCATCTGCCTGTCTTCTCTTCAAAGTTTGGCTCAAACCTCACCTCCACTATTAGATTCCCCCATAGATTTCCTTGGCTTTGGTCCTGTTCCCCCAGCCCAGCCCGGGGCACTCATCTTGGTAAAATCTTTGACTGGCCTGTTCTTTGGTCAGCTGCCTCCCCAAGAAACCCAATGGGGGCCTGACGAGTGGTCATTTCTGGTCCCCCAAATCCAGATCTCAGTGGATTTCCTCATCAGTAGGGATCCTGGGCACTCCACGGGGGCGGGAGAAAGTGAAGGAGAAACTGCCAAGGAGGCCGGTACACCTTCAACCCAACCCCAAGCCTGCTTAGAAGCCGACTAAGGTTTGTGTTGCTCAGTGATTGGCCAGCAGGGGGCACCATGCCCCTACCTGGCATTCTTGCATTGGTTTCCAAGTCCTCTCCACCTTGCCCAGAAGCTGCGGGGCCTGGTGGTGGGACGCTCCCGCCCCCTCACTCTTGGGAATTACAGAGGCACGCAGACCCCCAACCCTCAACCCACTCATGGCAGGATGCAGTAAGGAGGTTCTAAAGATGCAAAGTGGCCCGGGCCGTGGGTAAAGGTCTAATTCCTACTTTACTCCCAATCAGCTGAGTGACTTTTTTTTTGTTTTATGTTTCCAGCACTGGGCATTGAACCCAGGGCCTTCACACTCACCTATTTCCCCAGCGCTTTTTACATTTTTTAAAAAATTTTTGAGACAGGGTCTCACTGAGTTGCTAAATTGCCCAGGGTGAGCTCAAACTTCTGATCTTCCTGCCTCAGCCTCCCAGAGCCACCATGCCTGGCCTGACTGTGTGACAGTAGAGCATTTACCTCCGCTCTGGTGCTACTTCTTCCCATGAAGAGATGGGGCTTGTCCCTTCCAGCCTGTTCTAGGATGTAGGAACTCCAATCGTTGTGGGGTTGCTATCCAGACAACGGGCAGCTGGACCCACACTCTAGGAGCTCACATTGCCCTTAGGGCCTGGTCCTGAGCTGGCCAATCCCCATCCCCTTCCCAAAAGCCACTGGTGCACAATGGCAGGGCTGAGGTATTCAATCCAGGACAGGTGCTGGGCCCCCCTAAGCAGCTCCGAGGAGGGCCCAGGCGGGGGCAGATATTGCCTTTCCTGTTAGTGGCCAAAAATGCTCCAGACAGCACGACGTGGTAGTTCTGGTGACACAACTGTCCCCTAACAGTACGAAAGCCCCAGAGAAAGAACGCACATCACACACCAGGATAGGGCTTCTCTGGGGAAGAAGAGGATGAAAGGAATAGCAAGGGTGTGCTGGGGAAAGCTTGGCTTTATAATAATATTTTACTCATTAAAATAATAGGCCTGGCAAATGGGTGACATCTGTTAAATCCCAGTGACTGCTGTGTATTTGCAAACTGTAAGACAAATGCACCTGTGAACACAACAGTTCGGTTGAATGTGGTTTATTGATTGTCACAGGCCTCTGCAGATGTGACGGTGTCATGCCGGGCTGTTTCTAGCAACCAGAGGAGGACCACATGTGGCTTCTGCACGACCAAGAGCCCGCCTGGCCCACGAGCGGTCACTTGTCCCAAAACGAAGGCACAGAGACCGAGGGGACCAAGAAGAGGTTTGAAGCAGGGACACTGCAGAAAGCTCAGGGACTCGCTGTTACTCTTACTTCATTGATTTCCAGATGGTGGCAGACAGCTGGCCTCTCCGGGGCCCAGAGCGGAGCCCGGCAGGCCCTGAATGGGCAGGCTGGCGTGTGATGGTAAACACACAGGGAAGGGTCTTGGAGCAGATTTGCTGGCGCCAGGAATCAGCCTCCTGTGTGCTGCTTCTGCTCCCCGCTGAGCATGGCTGGAGAAGAGAAGGATGCGATAGAGCTGTGAACCCCCACAGCCGCACCTGGGGACACCTGCGCCTGAGAGAGCTTCGGGGCTGTGATGGGCTTCTGGGAAACACCTGGGGTTTGTGGGAGCGCCGTCTCTGCTCTGGCCTGGAGTCGTCCACACCCAAATGCATGTCCGTGTCTGGGTCTGCCTCCAGGGGCTGCTGCCGTGGAAGCAGCTGTGGGCAGCGCTGGCCAGGGGCCTTCAGTGACTTCTCTTAGCTTGGCTTTCCAGCTTCCTCTGTGGAAGCCACGTGGAAAGCCACTGGGTCAGAGTGTTCCTGGGGTGGCTGGCGGCCCACTGCAGGTTCATTGAATGACCTCTGAACCCCGAGAACCAGGCCTGTGCCTGTGGCCTTGCCACTTTGCCCTCTGTGTCACATAGGAAAAGTTGTCTGATCCTGCCTGTGGCCCAGTCTTAGATGACAGGAGTCCCAATGCGCCTGGACGGCCGCAAGATTTAAATAAGGTAATATGTGTCAACAGTCCTTTTGAACGGGGTTCCTTTCTTTCTTTATAAAGATAGAAAAACACAGCTGGAATACTCCCTAAACAGGACCTGACCTCAATCTCTCTGAGTGTCTGAGATTGGGAGGTGTTGATGAATGGGCATGAGGGTTTGATGAGCTCCTCCAAACCTGAAGTCTCCATGTATACAACTGTAGTATACATCGTTCCCCCACCTCCAGGACAGGACCCGTTTCTTAAGTGCGATGCTAAGGGCGGTTTTAACTCAAGTGGATACCCAGGGGGTCTCAAGTGCTTGTGTTCTAGACCAGGGCTGCTTAGTAATTTGGAACCAAATAATATTATGTCAGTGGGGGTGGGGGTTGTCCTGTGGGTTGTGGGGTGATTGGCAGGATCCCTGGCGCTAACCCCTAGGAACGTTCTCCCGCGCTACCCCTGCCCTGTTTTTAGCAATGCGAAGTGTCTCCAGACCTCACTAAATGTGCCGGGGAGTGCAGAGGGGGACAAAAATCAGCTCACATGAGGAACGCCTGGCTTGCCATGTTCCATGTGGGGTGAGCCCTCTGGAAATGGCTGCAGTCTGCTGCCCTGAAATTTACCACGTTTCTTTTTGGAGCTTTGCTAATCTCTGCCTACTTGTGTGCGCTGATCAGAGCCATCCCGGAAAAGGGTTTTATCAAAGCTGAAGGACTACAGACTTGCCAAACTCCAGCCCTGCTTGAAATAAAGTGCTGGTCTGCACCCGGTTGGGTAGCCACGTCCCACAGAACTCAGTGCTTGTGTGTCTTGTTAGTCAAACTCGAAGTTTCCCCCCGGTCCCACAGCATTAAATGCAACTCAAATTTTGTAGACTTTTAGCTGTTAAACAAAATAGGAGTTGAGATTAAAACACAACAGCGAGTTCAACTGAAACAAGAGCTTGAGGCAATTGTCTCTCATAGGGGATACATTTTTTGTTTTGCAATAGGCCCGTAGTGGATCATGTTTCAGGTAGACACCAGGGAAGAATCCTAAGGACAGATTTGGGCAGGAAACAAAGGTGGAAGAAGAGGCGGAAGCATTTGTGGTCCCCGTTCTTTAGGTGGTGGTTTAAATGCACTGGAGGGGAAGGGCTGGGCAAAGTCCTTTGTGGGCCCTCGTACTGGTTTTTTGATGCTTCATGCTTCGTTTACATGTCCTCCTTAGACAAGCCAGGTTTCTTATGACTTCTTACAGCTGGCTCTAACATCTCCCCACTAATTCCATCTCAGGAACATCTGGCTATCCAGGATCAAAGGCTGCTCCTCCATTCCTGGAAGCTTTTTTCCTGATTTTCTCATGGAGCTTGCTGTAGCGCGGTCCTGCAGTTGTGGGTTGATAGCACAGAGGTTCCTCATTGCCTCTGATACATGAGACAGAGCCATGGAATAAAGCTTTGGAAAAGCTGATGGTGCAACAAAAGCTCCTCCAGGCCTTAGCACAAAGGAACTGGATAGGAGTTTTTGCCTTGAGTTGGTCAATGAGCACAGGAACAAATCTCAGCAGCGTACATCACTACTGGGTATGGTCTTTGGGGTTTCCTTTTGTTTTTGTGTGTGTGGACCTGGGCCATCATTTACACAACTGATCCTGTGAACTTGATGCTGAGGATTCCAGCTAGTATCTTGCAATATGGTGACTGTGTCACAACAAATGCGGCGCACACAGATGGGCTGGGTTGGATAAGGCGCTGCACTGCAGCAACGCTGCTGTTTCCTCTCTATATGTTCAAGAGGCTGTCTGCCGAGCAACGGTGGCTGTTACCATGGAACTCTTTGTCCAATGACCAAATGGATGCTGCGGGTCCTCACTGATGCGTGGTATCGGAGATTCTGGTTTTCCATTTGAACATGCTGATCTGGAGAGTTGGGTATCAGGTTTGGAATTCATTGTAAATGGCTCAAAACTGGGCACTCTGCACACAACATGGTGGTGGTACAAACCCTCAGTAAGAGCGTGCAGCCCTCTCATGCTGTGCTGGCTGTGTTTGGAGGCAGCATGTAGGAGAACATCTTTCTCTCTTCCAGTGCAGCGCCAGACCATGATTCTTTCTTAGAAAAGCCAGGGACAGACACGGAGGATCAGAAAGTAGGAAGCTGATGTTAGGACTGACCTGAGATTTTGCTCTCTTCACGAGCCACACTGCTTTCTCTTGGTCACTCTGGCATGGTGGTTTTTATGAACTTTACCTGCAGGAGCAAAAGGCTTCAGCAAAACACAGGGAAGAGGTCATGAGAGGCTTCCGGTGAGCCCCAGACAAGGTGCCAGACTTCCTAAGCAGGCGCTGTCCTCTGTCTATGCGGAGCACCCCGGGGAGGGGAACTCATTGCTGGTGGCTGGAAGAAAGTTTGGTGGAGGGGTGATCTGTATGCTGGTCAAAGTTTGCTTTTTTAAACAACAAACCTCAGGCTGTGGTCTGCATATACTGTCTTAGGCAAAGACACATTCTTCTTTGGGAAAGCACAGATTGTGTTTTCTCAAGATGGCTTGAGGGGAGCAGCAGGTGGAAGAAAGGGGCACACAGGAACTCCTCCTGGCCGGTGTGATGGTCTTTCTGGTGAGGGTGGCCATATGGGCCTTGGGATGACCAGCATGGAAATGATGGGCGGCCTGTGGCACATAGCTCTTTAGAGGAGATGGCTCTTCTGTACCTGTTGGTAGACCTTTCTGCAGCAGATAGGAGGTGTGAGTGGCTTCCAGTCTCAGAAGTTCTCCTCCACCAGGAAGAGGGAGACCTCGAAAATTGGCCGGGTGGTGATCTTGGAGGATAGGCAGAGAACTCTGTGGTGGTGGAGAGCGTCATCAGGAAGTCTATAATGACTGCTGCAGCTTTGCGGGGTGTGGTTGTTGAAGAGTCTCTCTTGGTGCTTCGAGTTGGAAGTTCCCAGCTTCTGTGCAGCAAGGCTTCTTCAACCCTCTCGTGCAGGAAGCAGAGTTCTTGGGTTCTCCTGTTGAGACTGGAATTGTGACTTCTATGAGACATTTCTTGTCTTCCTCACTTATTCTCCAGGTCTTGGGTTTGATAATTTTCTTCCTCAACACATTCTTCTCTTTCTCCTTCCTGGCCAGCTGTCTGTCTATCAGCATGACTTGCTGCCAGTGGCCTCCAGTGAGGTCTGCACGGTTTTGCCTCCACTTTCCAAAGGAAAATCACCACTGCACACACACCAGGTCTCCTTCCTTGCTTTGCTCGATGCTCCAGCTCTTGCTGAGTTGATTGAGCTTCTCATTCTGTGCAGGGAAGCTGAATCTTTACTGACTCTTCCTGGTCTTGTTTGTGCTGCAAACCCTGACTTGCTGCTCATTCCCTTCCACGGGATTTTATTTAACAGAGCAAGGACCTCATGCATGTCCATTATCGGTGCCTTAGAAACGGAACAACTTTAAAAGTTAGGAGCAGTTTCTGCAAAGACAAAAATACACGTTTATTACATAGCATGTGGTAATAAAATTTATCCAGATGTATTATATAAACTCACAGCATTTTAGATACAGCGCTGGTCTAACATATTATAGCTTGATGGAGTACAGTAAAATGACATGTAGTCTGTCTTTGGCTAGTACAGTATAATACTGTAGAGCAATATTAACAAACTATTTATGTCAAGTATTACAGGAACTTCTAAGGGAACAGAAGGAGTGGCAATGGTTATCGAAGAACCTAGGCAGCTATTTTCTTCTGTGCTTCAAATTAGATGGGTGATTTTTCTACTGGCTCATAGGAAAGGAATAAAGGCTAAACTATTATTTTTGGAAGTAGAAAGTCATTCCTCCCAGAATTCCACCTCAAATCAAAAGAGATTCTTTCAGATCCTTCAGTTCCAGTGGGAGTACGGCCTCAGGGTCAGGGGAGTCCCTGCTGACTTCATATACTATACCACAAAAGATGCATATGGACACTGAGAAGTCTTAATATTGCAGTAGTTAAGAACTTTAATCTATTTCACATGTGTGGCTGAGCTGGCCAGTGTCCTGAAGGAGTTCTTTGGACAAAGAATTCTAAAAGTTAATTGTAATGATTAGGGCAGACAGGGTCATGTCCTCATGGGTAGCACCTATAGCTAATACTGAAATAGCTCTTCAGAGAAAACAATAATTTTTAAATCCTAGAACCAAAAAACATAACCTTTAGAAGAAGAGAAGAGCACCTGCTATGAGTTTCCTGCCAGAGACCAGCCTCACAGCTAATGTTCTGTTGTTTCTTTGAATAAATCGCCCAAGATAGGTCAGTTTGTGGTTCTGGTCATCTGAGTTGAGCTCTGAGCAGTGCCGCTGTGTCCTTGAACTCTTGAGTGGGTCTGCTGTGTGGTGAGGGGAGGAGCCTCCAGATGTGTCTGCATCAAGGTGTTGGCTCCTGGAATGATCCTTGGAGGGTGTATGACTATAACATGCCATAAGAAGTGGTCACTGGCTTGGGCTTAGTGAAAAGTTTCAGATGATTTCCTTTTTTACTGGACAGACTTTTCTTCATGTTTAGTGGCAGTTTTCTTGGTGATATCAGTGCCTGTGACTATACTTTTCTTGGAGGGGATTATAGTCAGGGTTTTGCAAGAGGAACAATTTCATATAGGACATATAAAATATAAAGAATTCAGGAAACCTGTTCACACACTAAAGACCCAAAGAATCCAGCTGAGGGCCTGGATCCCATGGCAGTGTCCTGCATGAGTCCAGCTGAAGACCTAGAGCCCATGACAAAGTCTCATGCAAGTCTTTCACAGATCTGCACTGGGAAGGCCCAAAAATCAGTGGTGGAAGCTAGAAAATCTGCACCGTGGGAATGAAGGATCTGTGCCAGCAGGCTGAAGGATCTGCACCGGAGCCAGGGAGTGACACTGGAAGTAAGAGCCAGAGCTCCCCTGAAGAGAACCACAGCCAACCTCAACTACAATGAGGAAAGCTCTGCTGACGATGAGAACAGCCGAGTTCATACCAGGAAAGCCAGATGACAAGCTCCTTCAGGAGAACCAACAGCACCCCACTTCCTCTTTAGTTCTCCTCTTCATGTTGCTGGCAACGATCCTCAGGTGGGCCTTCTACACCCAGCACCACGCTGACTCAGTGCAGCTGGGTGTTACAAGGTGTCCACCAGCTGTGAATCCATCACAGAGGCATTACTGTTGTTTCTGATTGTCTTCATCATATCCAGAGAGGATCACGTCACTGCTGGACTTGCAGAGCTCTTTCTGGTGAACTCCCTGACATAGAAAACCCCTTGGATGCTGGGCTCTAAGCAGCACCTCCATCACCTTTTTTGGGACACCTGCTGCAGTTGTGGAGAGGTAGCTGGGTGAGTATATGCTGGATGAGGCTCTAGGGTGCTCCTCCAGCAAGGCTTTTCTCCTCATTACTAAACACCCCCAGGCTTGGACTCAGCTGCCATTTCATTGGAATGTTTTGACCTTTAGAATGCTTTTGGTTAAAATCACTTAAGATGAAGGTGCTTCCGCTTCATGCTGGCCAACCACATGGTCCCTGACAGAGTCCACACTTCCGCTACCCTGGCCTGGTTTCTTTACCAAGTCACTACCCAAGGCATCAACATCTTCATTTGGCTCATTTTCCCAGACGTCACTGAAACCTCTCCAAAGAGGGAAGTGATTTTATGTCCAAATATCCTACAGCAGTTTTCAATTGTATAAGCAGGAAATTCTTTGTAAATTCATGTTCTAGATCCAGGAGGAAGTTGGAGGCAATGAGGCTGGGAATGATGCATACTGCAAAATTAAATGCATTCGTTTGATTGGCCAAGGAATTTTTCTCAGTGCTATATAATATCCCAAACAGATATCTTAGAGGAGATAATGATGTTGACTCTTGGAAGCTGGCCTTTCAGTTGTATTTATTTTTCTCTTCATCATTTCCTTGATCCATTGCACAGACCCAGCGATCAT